GGAAATCCTATACAGGGTTGCTGTAATTCAGAACCAACTCTACAGCACATCACTACTCCACCACAACATAGTGATAACAATTACAATTCTCAGGTGTGCCAAGCTACCCTTCATCAATGTGACTTTTCCCATCATTGCTAACTACCCATCTCCGAATCCTGTCACGGATGGTAACCACTAATAAATTTGCTAACCACTAATAATCACAGTTTGCTTTTTCTTGTATATATATATATATATGTGTGTGTGTATGTGTGTGTGAGATCAGGCAACATTTGTCCTTTGTGATTGACTTAATTCACTCAGCACAATGTCGTCAAACTCTGTCCATGCTGTAGGATGTATCAAGACTTCATTTCTTCTACTGGCAGTGTTTCATTCTGCTGTGTTTATGGTCGCTATGAGTCGGTACTGACTCAATGGCACCTAACAACAACAACAACCAATTCGATAGTACCTAACAACAATAAAAAATGGACTAAGCATTCCTGGTGTGGCGCTGTGGGCTAACGTGTCAGATTGCAAAGTCATTTGAACTGCAAGGTCAGTGGTTCAAGTTCATCAACTGCTCCTTGGAAACCCTATACAGGGTCACTATTGGTCAGAATTGACTCGATAACACTTAACAACAACAACATGGCCTTCTGGTGTGGCATTGTGAGCTATTGCACTAGACTGCAAAGTTGTTTGAACCACAGGTCAGAGATTCAAGCTCACCAACTGCTCCTTGGAAACCTTATACAGGGTTGCTATGGGTTGGAACCAACTCATCGGTGCTTAACAATAACATTGCGAGTAGAGTTCTGGTATGGTACTGTAGGATCCACACTGGACAGCAAACCGCAAGGTTGACAGTTCAAATCCAACAGGTGCTCCTTGGAAACACTATACAGGGTCACTATGAGTAAGAACTGACTAAAGGACACTTAACAACAACAACAACATGGCGAGTAGAATACAAAAAGGAAAGGCAAGTAGTAGGTTCTGTCTTTAAGGAAGTTAAATCTAGTGGGATTTAAGAACATAAACTATTATCACAGCAAGAACCGGGTGATACAATGGAGTGATCTTTCAAAGGAGGGAAAGTGAAGAGATTCAAATCAAGCATGATGGGAGGAGGTGCAACTTGAGTGTCACATGGTTCCAGGATCTGAGCACACAGCAATGAGGAAGAGGACATTTCAATGAAGAAAACGTAATGGCAGAAGAACTCAATACCATCACTCTGTGTCTCTGTTTCCCTGTTTGTTAAAGGATAAGAAGTGAGCTACAAAGTTTTTCTTTATACCAAGCAATAGCTGTCTTCTCCATATTTCTTAGTATAGATGAGTGAATGCCTCCATTGCTGCCTCAGTTTGTTGTAAGATTTCAATTTGTGTTCCTTCAGTTCCTGGAGCCTGCTTTTTCACCAATGCCTTCAGAGCTGCTTGGACTTCTTTCTTTAATAGTGTTGATTCTTGATCATACGGTACCTCATGAAATGGTTGAACATCGACCGTTTCTTTTTGGTATAGTGACTGTGCCTTTCTTCCATCTTCTTTTGATGCTTTCTACATCATTTGATATTTTGCCCATGGAATCCTTTAATATGACAGGTTGAGTGTTGAATTTTTTCCTCAGTTCTTTCAACTTCCTCAGGATTTCAACAAGAGAAATGCTGAGCATGTTCTTACTTTGGTTTTCGAACTCTAGGTCTTTGCATATTTCAATATACTACCTGACTTTGTCTCAAGTTGCCCTTTGAAGTTTTCTGCTGAGCTCTTTTACTTGCTCATTTCTTTCATTTGCTTTAGCATCTCTCTGCTAGAAAGTAAGTTTCAAAGTCTCTTCTCACATACATTTTAGTCTTTTCTTTCTTTTTAATGATAAGAATTGGGGATAATAAGATTGAGTCATTCTGTTTCATGAAGTTATTGTGAAAGTCTTCACCCCCCCCAAAATAAAATACTTGAATCTTTAAAAGTACAATAAAAGATTTATCATGATTCATTAATCACCCAAATGAAAAATATTTCTCATGGCATATTGTCAAATTACAAAATGTTTAAAGCCATAATCAGTCAACTGCCTTGATCCGTGATTCATGATGTTAATCCTGTTACCCTTGACATGTGCTTCAAAGGAGCTAAGAGAAACAAACATGTCTTCTGCACTTCAGAAATAAAACTTTCAATATTATTGTGCCTTTCCACTTACATTACCAGGTTGCTTAGAATAGTGCACTATTAAAATAAAAGCAACTAATAAAGGACATGAAAGTCTAAAAATAAATAAATAAAAGCAAATTCATGTGAAGGTTTATAGAGCAGATGGGTTTTCATTCCACAATCCATACATATTTTGTTTCACGTGATTGATTGGAATCCCCACAATGTAGCATCATTCATCCCACTTTCTCCCTGCATTTCTTGTTTCCATTTCTCCTCCTTTCCTCGCCCTCTGAACTCTGTCACTGAAGAGTAAATGCTGCTCTTTTGGTCCCATGTGGTTGATTATTGTAAAGTATGTTGACCTCCATAGTGTTATGATTCCCCTTATATTGTTGATACTGTAGTGAGTCATAGACTTGGTTTTGACTTGCAGTGACCCTGTAGAGGGCTTCCAAGAGCAGGTGATGGGGTTGAATTGCTGACCTTGTGGTTACCAGCCCAGTGCTTATCCTACCGATTCACAGCAGGGCTCTGTTCCCTTTATCGACCTGTCAATTGTTTCACAGAAAACTGAGCAACGGCATGAGTTCATTTCTAGACCTTTAGGGTGACTAAGGTCTCCACCAGTCTCTATTTTACTAGTAAGTCAGATCTTTCTTACAATTTTTAAGCTTTGTTCCACATTTTTCTCCCACTTGATCCAGGATCTTGTAATGTGATCCCTTTCAGGGTAGTTGATAATGGTAGCCAGGCACCATCTAATCTTTCTGGCATTAAGTTTGTGGAGACTGATATCTGAAAGGTTCATTAGCCCATTGGACTAATTGTATCTCCTCATGTCTTCAGTTTTCTAACTTTCTTTCCTCCAGAAAGGGACAGAACAATAGTTGCACTTTAGAGGGTTGCTTACGTCCCCATCACTACTCACGGAAGTAGGATGTAGAACATTATCTTTGTGCATTATGTTAAAGCCAATTGACCTTGATGTCCCCTGAGACCATGGTCCTGAGTTCCCAAACCCAGCGGCTCATTCCATCAAGGTGTTTGGTAGTCTAAGAGGTTTACATAAATTTGCTGCAAATTATTTTATTGTTAAATCCCATACATAGATTTATGATTTATAGAGACTAATGTTATGAAAACATCTGAGCAACAAGATAGAAAGTGTCTTTATTAATAAAAACACATTGTGTAAATACTCTACTCAGTGACATAAAGGTTACTGTTTCAGTCACATAGAGTTGTCATAGCATATGATTTTAAGAGACAGAATTTAGTAAGCATCTTCTTTACTGCTCAGAGAGAAGAGAAGAGGAACCCCAGGCTGTGTGGGAAGCTTTCTCTTGGAAATAGAGTAGCTAAAGTGATTGGAGTTATTGATGAGGTATAAAAGCTGTGCTCCAGACCAGGACAGACTAGGGAGAAAAGCATGGTGTTATACTTCCAAATATCACAACAGCTAACCTGAAATGCATCCTGGGGAAAACACGCCAGGTAACATATCCATGTGCATGGCTTCCCATGAGTTAGGGTTGACTCTACCATAGCTAGCAACAACAACAGCAATAGGGTTGAGTGATATACAGGAGAATGAATAAGAAGAAAAGAAC